AAGCACTGAAACACTAACCACAAGGTTGGTGGTTCAAACAAACCAGCTGCTCCTTGGAAACCCCTATACTGACTCAGCAACACTTAATTAGTAATATAGTTAGAACTTTTGTTATTGTAGCTTATGATTTGACTGAGAAAAAAACCTTTTCCAAATCACTATAAAATTGGTGTTCGGCTACCTACCAGTCAAGCCCATTGCTGTTCAGTCAATCCTGACTCAGCCCATAGGACAGAGTAGAATTGTTCCTTAGGGTTTTCGAGGCAGTCAATTTTTATGGATGCAGACTATATCTTTGTCTGGTAGATTTGAACTACAGACCTTTAGGTTAGCAGACCTATACTTAACCCACTACACTACAAGGGCTCCTTATTTTACACTTATCCAACACATGGTTATGTGGGATTGAAACAACCATGTTATCTATTGCTGTGTAACTTGGCACCATTATCCCTTGATTTCTGTGGATCAGAAATCAAGAATGGCTGAACTGGGTGGTTCTGGTCAAAGTCTCATTACATTACAGCCAGGTTGTCAGCCAGGGCTGCAGGATCTGAAGACTCAACTGAGACAGTCTGTTTCCAAGTTTGCAAGGTAGTCAGCCAGCCCTAGTTCCTCACTGGTAGGTTATGAGTGCTCATGATGGGCATCTGGCTTCTCCCAGAGTGATCCAAGGGAGAGAGCGCACCCAAGATGGAAACCACTGTTTTTGCTTAACCTTATCTTAAAAATGACATAGCTTCATTTTGCTGTATCCTGGTGTGGTGCTAGAGCATAAACACTTAGAAATTAGATAATAGTTAAGTATTGCTTTGGAATTCATTCAACAGTTAAATTCACATTTATGGTCTTTTCCTCCTAAATTCTAAATTGATTACTTAAAAATTACATATGAGTGAATGAGAAGAAAAGCAGTGAGACTAGGGAAAGGGGTAGGTTTTCAGAGGTAAAGTCAACAGACGATTAATTGGAAATGGTCGGAGAGATACAAGTCAAAGTTTTTTACTTGAGTTGTTGTTAAGTACCAATGAGTCAGTTCCACACCATATAGCGACTTTGTATCCGGTTTCTGAGGAGCAGCTGGAGCTGAGATCTGCGGCTGCTCACCCTGAGGTTCAAACCTACTTTGCAGTCTAGTGCATTAACCCCCAGTGCCGGTGCATAAATAATTTCTTTTATAAAAATCAACATAAGATGGGTCCCTATGTATTGGAGATTAAAGATATCCCAAATGTTCAACCTTTCCAACATGTTCTACCCCTCCATAGTCCTTGATACCAATCACCATTCCTCCCTTCCCCCCAAGTCCCAGGGTTCTGCAACATGCTGCAATGTCTCACAAAACTCACAGTTGGCAAAATAAATGGCTCATGCAATTGGAGAGGCTGGCAAGTTCCAAATCTGTAGTTAAAGAGATCAATCTGGAGGAATCTCACAGTGTAATCTCAGGTCCTGAGGAAACCAAATCAGCAGGCTGTTGTTGCAGGAGGTTGCAGGAGCTGAGGTGATGAGCCAAAAGTGCCATGAACTGGAGGTCAGACATCATGAGCCAGATGAAAGAGCCAGGGCAAGCGTGCAAGTTTTTTCAAAG